ATAATAATAACTATGTGATAATTTTATTCCATTTTCTGTACTTTTCAACTCTTGCTGATGCAGTAACAAGCATTGTAATTGAATCTGCTATTTCTTTACTAGCCTATGTGATTAGGAAAAATTTAAGTGGTTATCTAAGCTAGTATAAGTAGTATTTTGAACTACCGTATTTCATTTTCACCTGTATAATTTGACTATGAAACGATACTAAAATAGACATAAAGCAAGGGAAACCTACTTTTGCAATTTTTCATCTTACAAGAAATAAATTGAAGGTTTTTCTGCACAACTTACTAAAATGAGATAAGTATATAGATATCTTATTAAAACAGCCCACAAAATGCTAATAAATTCAATGGTTATTGGTATTGTTTATTCAAATACACCTGGGATTCAAACTATTGTATATGAAACAAAGTTCTAAGTTTATGTTAAGAGTTATTAACACATTGTGTCCTGTTTTTTCTTTGTAGACGTGGAACTGGTGCTTTTAAATCAAGAGTGGGATTGCCAGCACCTACTCCTGTGATTAATAGTAAATATGGACTGAGAGAAACAGATAAACGATTGAACAGACTTAAAAAGTTGGGTGACAGCAGCAAAAATTCAGACAGCCAGTCCGTCAGCTCTAACACTGATGCGGATACCACTCAGGAAAAAGCTAATGCAAGTAAGTAGGGGGAAACACTTGGAGTGCAGGATTAAAGGTTTCATAAAAACATGAAAAACTTTGTGGAATGGAATGTGATGGAATTCCTCTCTTAGTGTTGAGATGCATCTCAAGTACTGGTCTTTAGAACTGTAACTTATTCAGGAATCTGAAGGCAATTTAATAGCAAATTTTTCCTTGAGAGTTTCAAGAACAATAGGTGGTATGTTCTTGTTTTGTTTTCTTTTATTTATATCAAAAGCAAATACTGTCATATTTCTAAACATGTCAGTTAAAGTTGATGTATGTATGGATTTCAAAATACAGTAAACTATCACACGCAGTAGTATGGTTTAGGAAAGAAAACTTACATAGTTTGGGTTACCTACATTCTGTAGGAAAATATTTTTTTAAATAAATATTCTTAGTAGCGATTATTAAACAAATAGTCATTTCCTTTAGAGATCCTTTAAATTGGGCAGCTATTCCCTCTCCACATCCAGGACTGATAGTTCAGGTACCTATTCTGAAGTGAAAGTACACAGTTAGTAATCTCAGAAGAAATTGGAAGGGATTTTTGTTTGTGATGCTCCTGAGAGGCTTCTCTTCATGGAGTAGTGAGTATCATTTATTTACTTTCCCACCTTCCCCACCCCCACCACCCTCAGTATAGGCAAAATATAAATAACTTAAACTTTGACTTAAGTAGCAAACAGGCTTGGAGCCACATAAAATATTGTGGTTCCCTCTGGCTCCTGTTTGCTGCTGTGATATTTAAAAAAAAGAAAAAAACACTTCCCAAAACCCTCTTATGATCTCTAATTACAAAGCTTTAGAGTTGCAGCTTTGCTTGGCCAGACAAAACTCCTTTGCTTACCGCAGTAGGTGACAGACAACTGGATATCTGAAACTGAAACCATTACAGTAGTTAAGGTTTTGGGGTTTTTTTCCTCCCCCTGTAGGAGAAAATTCTGGGATTAATACTACAGCAGGCTGATCCTCAGATTTTGCTGGAATAATACTCAGTAAAAACTGTGGATAATGTGGGATGGATTTTTTTTAAAAAATCGATAGAAGAAGAAATTCCGTAAAAACCAAACTTGGTATATTGGGGGCAGTGAGGGAAGTGTACCTGGAATTTTGGTGTACTTTTGACTTGTTTGACAATTCCTTCCATGTCTGAATTGCAAGTTAAGCAGTCTCACTCCTTACTGCATTCTATCTAGCCTGTTTCACAGATTTTGCTGAAGCGTTTAAAATAAATGAAGATAAATGAAGTATTTGGGATGGGAAAATCAGGATAAGGCAGTGTCATAACAGTGTCACTTTTTTCTTTTGCAGCTAACAGAAAATCTTCAATTGGCGTAAAAAAGAACAGCAAAAATAGAACATTAACAAGACAGTCTATATCAAGAATTCCAGCATCATCAAATTCTACCTCATCTAAACTAACTCATATAAATAATTCCAGGGTACCAAAGAGACTGAAAAAGCCTGCAAAGCCTTTACTTTCAAAGATAAAGTTGAGAAATCAGTGCAAAAGGCCAGAGCAAAAGAATGCTTCTAGAAAGCTCGAAATGGGAAATTTAGTTCTCAAAGAGCCTAAAGTAGTTTTGTATAAAAACTTGCCCATTAAAAAGGATAAAGAGTTGGAGGGACCAGTCAAAGTTGCAGTCTCTAGTGGATGCTTAACAAGGCATGCAGCAAGAGAACATAAACTGAATTCTGTGAAAGGTGCTCATGAGCATGGTGATATACCACCCTGCACATACATAACCAGGAGGTCAATGAGAACAAGGATGAATTTGAAGGAGACCTCTGACATAAAGCTTGAACCAAATATGTTGGATAGCTATAAGAATAATTTGACCGGAACGCAATCGGACGTTTTAGAGCAGCAGTCTCATGTGATAAATGAAAATGATGTGGCTCATGGACCATCACATAAAGGGGAGATTAGGTGCCAGAAAAATGATGCAGGCATGTCAAAAAAGAAATCTCGACAAGGAAAACTTGTGAAACCATCTGCAAAAATAGAAGAAACTGATACTACGCACAATACACCTGTGAAAGATGAAGTACCAGATTTAATTAGTTCTCATTCAGAACTCGGAGAGAGGAATAATGTGGTGGATGCCCCTGTTGGCTATAAAGACTGTATCACTGGATCTGGTGGCTGCTCTGTTGTAACATCTGACAATTTTAAAGCAAAAGACAGCTTTAGAACTGCTAAAAGTAAAAAGAAAAGACGAATCACAAGGTATGATGCACAACTTATCCTTGAAAATAGCTCTGGGATCCCTAAACTGACTCTTCGTAGACGCCATGATAGCAGTAGCAAGGCAAATGACCAAGAAAGTGATGGAATGAATTCTTCAAAAATAAGCATCAAATTAAGTAAAGACCATGAAAAAGATAATAATTTATATGTAGCAAAGCTAAATAATGGGTTTAACTCAGGATCAGGCAATAGTTCAACAAAATTAAAAATACAGCTAAAACGAGAGGAAGAAAACAGAGGGACATACCCTGAGGACCTTCATGAAAATGGTATGTGTTGTAGTGAAACTCTCTCCCTTTTGGAGTCAAGAATGGAAGTAGATGATTATGGTCACTATGAAGAGGAAACCGCAGATGAATCTTCGTCAGAAGAGGATGATGAAGAGGAAGATGACTATGATGATGAATTTGATGACTTTATTCCTCTTCCTCCAGCGAAGAGATTAAGGCTTATTGTTGGCAAGGATTCAATAGATATCGATATTTCTTCCAGGAGGAGAGAAGATCAGTCTTTAAGGCTCAATGCATAAGCTTATAGGTCTTAAACTGACCTGGATGTCATTTTTAAAAAAAAAATTAAAAATTAAAAAAAAAAACCAAACACCCACAACAAAAAAAAAACCAACAAAAATTCCATTTGATTATTCCTCAACTGAAGAACTTTCTGAAAAACTTAGTGGCAGCACTTCTTTATTGTTTATTCACCTATCAACGTAATATTGTAGAAAGTGTACAGCATACTGACTCTTCTTAAGTCTGATTTGTGCAGATTTTTATTGTACTTTTTAATAGCCTTCTTATGTGCAATTCTGAGTTAGAGGTAATGCTCTGTTGTAAAATAAAGGCTCAAGCAAAGTTATGAAATTGCATCAAATCTTTCCATGCAGGACAATGAGAATACAGTGTGGCTACATAATTATTTTTGATCAGTAAGAGCATTAGTTTGCTCTTACGATATTTGACTAAACAATTTAAAAAATCATAGTAGCAGCATATTAAGGTTTTCTAGTATATGTTATTATCACCAGCAATGATCTACAGCTTTTGGATTTATTTGCTAGATGTTTTTTTCCCCCCTTGGAGTTTGTCAGTTTTAACACTGTATGCTGTCCCAGACGTACTGTTTGTGGCCTTTGTTATAGTAGCAAACCGTTGGTTGGAAGTCAAATTGATTTCTTTAAAAAAAGAGAAAAAAAAAAAAATGAAAAGGTGTTGACAATTTGCTGACTTTTTAGTACATTATATGTACAAGGGTAGCAGTATGCAGAATAAAAGTTTGGATATGGTGTATTTATTGCTTGTTATGTAAATTAAACACCTTGTATTTAACACTTTTCAATACTTTTAGATAAAATTGTTCTTTGCAAGAATGATTGGTGCTTATTTTTTCAAGAATTTGCTGTGAAATAATGTGATTACAACAGGCAACATTTATCCAATGAACTGCAGCTATCCTAAATTGGTTCTTCATATTTTTTGTTGCACTTGTAAAATGCTACAAGGAATTTAAAGAAAATCTATTCACTTTAACTTATGATAGTTTTATGAAATTAAAAACAACTAAGTCACAGCTTTTGTTCTGTGGTAACCTATAAATTGTTTGTCTTTTAAGAACAAGTTGTAAAAGACTGAAAAAATATGTATATGTTGTAAATATTTGTGTGTTGTGAGAAATTTTGTCATAAGAAATTGAGATAACTTGCCAGAAGGGTTTTTAAGTTTAGAAATACATCCATGCCAATAAAATAGGAAATTGTAAACCTAGTTTTAAACTCTGCATCAGTTGGAGTTCTTTACTTATACGTAGTTCACTTAATACTTCAGAGTCTGCTTTATAACAATGAAGAGCATCAGGGCAATCTTTGGCTCTTCTGTTTTTAATAAAGAATGTTAGGAAACTTCTGGGCACAATGGACTTGTTTGTATGTATAAATCGGCTCATTTATAAGCCATTTCTTTGAAACAGGTCTAAAATGTTATAGTTGACATAACTGTATAGCACGTTGGTCTATGGTATTTGTGTTTTTACTCAACCATGGATTAAGGTTTAGAGTTTTTGTATCTAGGGGTGTAAAAACAGAAGTCGCACCATAAAACATGTGCTGTTGGATTAGTTGAATCCACTGTTAGCTGCACAGAATTTTCATGTCAACTCCAACCCTTTCTGCCCAGAAGAGCAAGAGTTACTATGGCCACTGTATTACCCAGCTGTGAAAGCATTCGTGGAAATGGGTGGGTGAATTTGCATGTGAGCTGATCATAATGGTTTGGCCCATCTCCCTGACCCTCACAGAAATGAAGAATTTTTTCAAAGAAATCCTTCTAAATGCATTTCAGTCATTTGTTAGACTGCAAATCAGGTGCTGGAAACTGCCTTCGTCTTGCTTCCCTTCTGTATTCTTAGCAGAGAATTAAGTGTAGAATTAAACATAATACTTGTAACTTTGTTTTTACAATGTCCAGTCTCTGTTAAAGGCCAGCTATGTATCATGTACAGAGTGCATATATTTTTAAAAAATGGGTAGGCCTGTATGTAATGCACAGTCTCTCCTTCCAGACCTGGGCTTTTAGTTCACGGAAGAATGAACACAAAAGCTTTGGTAAGTATGCTGACATTTTTGAGTACTGAGTCAGCTATGGTGGATTGTCTTGTAGGATTTTTAATTGTACTGTATCATATAAAAATGGGTTGTTAAAGGTTGGGTTAAAGGGAAGATAGCTGTGTTAAGGGCTTGCTTTGTAGTAGGAAGTTTACCAGCAAACAGTTGATGACAAACAACAGTAATACAGCTCTTTCCTCAAGAATTCACTCACGTTTTCACTGGGTGATGTGCCCTGCAAGTACGTGGTTCTATCAGCGAACGATGTGAAGAGCTGAACAGAGCATCTGCGTGTTTTCTGTTCACTGCCTCATAGATTATTTCTGAAATACCAGTTCCCCTACTTTGCTCCAGAGTCAGTTTTTTCTTGCAGCTCTTCTGTCTCCCTGCTGCTCCTGCTTGCAGACTCATGCTGAATGGTCTTCTGGCAGTCTTGGTGGTTCTAGTGGGGGGTGATTGGTTTGCAGAAACATAATTCACCTGGGCATTTGAGGAAAAGGGGGTTGATGCAGCAAGTAAATATTGCTAGCTGTTGGTATTTACTGACCAGTATGCTCAAGAGCAAGTTTAGGGCTTGCTAAACCAGCATCAAGCAATGAAAGCAGGTGATGAAACAGGTGGTGAAGAAATTGCAAGAGAATCCTGCCCTTAAAGGTGGAAGCTGTTTTCCTGGAGTAGATGTTCCTACCAACTCCTAGTTCAGCCAACCCCTTGATGAGAACTGCTTTTCTTTTTCTCTGATGCAGAAATAAGTACAAGGAGCCCTTTGGGCATCAGGAACTCTGGGTTGTTCTTGTTCATTGAACAACCTTCTTGTCTTGGAGAATTTGGAACAAAAGCTTTTAGTCATTTCCAGGGTAGACAGGTCCATAGGTATGTCCTGCTACACAGATTTTCGGTGTTACAGACGCCTTGAAAACAATTAAACGCGTACCCCCAAGTTGATAAGGTAGGCAGGGGTTGCAAAACGCCAGTCTCTTCTGTCCTTCTCCTGCTGCAGAAAATAATTTTTTTTTTTCATCATTTATATATGTGAATTGGCAGATTCTGGTGTTTCCCTAACCTAAGTAGTAGGGGAAGGTGAATGTTTGCGTCACACGTATGAGAACCTGAAAACCTGGGGATGTTTCTTGCTGTCCAGATCACAAAGCACTGTGAAGTTAATAGTGATTTGACTCTCGGGGACCCTGTCTAGCCTTTATGTCTCTCATTTCCCAAGATACTGGTAAGAAAAGATGTAACAGCTGGGTAGGTTTAGGGTGACCACAGCACATCTTTTAGCAGGCTGAAGAACTGGAGGAAGTGTATTACAGATGGGCTTTGTCAGCTAGTTTTGTGTGATGTGTAACAGGTTGTAAGGCTGAAAAGAAAACATTACAACCACCATGAAAATGGCAGGTTGGCTGCAGACTTGTGAGCATCCTGGCACAGGCAGTGCGTGCTGAGCTGCCATGCAGTTGAGGACAGGTTTAGCATCAGCCTTTGAACATTTGGGTAGCAGATACAACTGTTAGCTGACTTGCGCCTTTGATGTGGTGAGTTAATAGGGTAGGGGCAAAGGTGTTGATTCTTCATAAGAAAAACAAATACTGTTTCTTCACAGAAGAGTGTTATGGAATTGTAAGTGTTCTTTCTAAAAAAAAAAAAAATAAATGCAGTGAGTGTATGGGGGAGGGAGCGCTCCTAAGTGCTCTGCTCAAGTAGAAGCTTGCGCAGACTTACTGTACAGTAAAATCGCTGCAAAATACATTACAGGCAGTTCGATCCTATTGGATGCTACTCATGTCGACCCCAGAGAGACAGAAAAGATGGTTACTCGCTGTGTTTCTGTCTGCCTTGCGTAGGGCAGTCTAATCTTCCCCATGTCTCTTTGGAGTGATATAGAAAGGTATTTTACATTTATCTGAGGAGGAGTGATTTGGTTGGAAATAACCAAATAAGAATCAAGCCTTTCCTGCTTCACATGTACAGGGACGTTTCCCTGGACATTGGAGAATTTCTGGAAAATTGCTTGTGCTGAGAAGCAGCAATGTTTGTGCAAACACCAGAAGCTTGTGATTGTCAGATGTTATTGTAATACTGTCTGAAATGAGTCCCCCTCTGAGCTACCCAAGCATGCTCTTTTCTACCTCATCGGTAACTCCAGCTATAGGCTGCAAGCATGGGGTTTTGGACTTGAAAAAATGAATGTCCTGTTACTGTCTTTTTTGTCTTCTGTTTTTCAGATGCAGGGTTTTTTTCTTTTTTTTCCCCTCCAGTGTATTTGTTGGGCATCAGGTGTTGTCTCTGTTTGTACTTTGAATGCTCGGATATTAGCTTGCATGAAGCTTGCCGTCGTTCAGAGTATTACTCTGTTGTTCACAATGCATTGACTTTATTCAGTTACACTGCCAGCCACTATGTGTTAAACACATCCAAAGTACTCCACAAAGTATGTATTCATGTCTGCTTTTGGATAGGGTTTTTCTGGTTTCTTTTTGTCTGTTTTGCATAGCGCTGCCAGTGCACACTCTTTAAAATAAACGCAGAAATAGAATTCCTTTGCTCCCCATATTTGTATGGTTGATTGCCCTTTTTAGAATGAAAGGGTGAGGGTTTAGGAGCTGTGCAGAACAAGACTTACTGAAAATTAAAAGCAAACTTACTTAAGTTTGCATTATATCTGCTTGTATCATGTGTTTTCCCAAATCTTCCCCAGTGAGTCTTCTCTTGTTTGGGCTGGGTCATAAGTAAACCTATGGCCTTGCATAATCTCTGTTGCCCCTTCCTAAACTCTTGATGTCACAAGCTAACAAGGTTATGGAAGGTTGTTTTTCCAGCATCGTTTCATGGCAGCAACACTAGCTATGTATTTGTTCTTTTTTGCCTGTTGTAGCTGCTGCTTTTTGCCCACCAAGGGAACTTCTGTGGTAGTCATGCTTGAGTCCAATGCCTAATTTACACTAATGAAATATTTTTATTATTGCAAGGTA